CCTTAGTGAGGCTCTGCATAGTTCTGTCTTGCTCTTATGTAAATCCACTATTTCCATCTTCACCTTCAATCACACTTTCTCCTTGACCTCCATGAACATTAGCAGCAATCCTTTTTCCCTTATTGAACCTTGAGTCTTGAGGGTAACCATGCAACTTTAGCATCTTTCCTTGATGTGGCCTGGCTTCTTGAAAAATCACAGAAAGGTCGTGATCTATTCCCAAATTGTCCTCCTCAGTAATTGTTATATCCACACTGAATTCATAGTTCAGTCACTGAATTCACAATTAAATATATATACATATTTAATGAATTTTTTAGTTTAACTATAAAGTCCGGCATATAATATTGGCATTTGGTGTTACTTAAATAACTACATTTTTATCTATAATTGTTCGTGACCAGAGGCGAACCTATGCTATAACTATATAGAGGGGTCACGGGCACTCGTAAAGTTCGGCAAAAATTCTATGTATACATGTATATGTCTTTAGAAAATAGTGATATATTAGTAGTGGACGCCCTATATATAAAACAGATTTTGATTGAATCTATAAGTATACCCGACCTTCAAATCCTAAGTCCGCCTCTGTAATCGAAACGAGATATTTTTCATACATGTGTCTTAGATCAGACGCAATATTCCATTTATGTCTTCGACTAAGAAATGGGACAGACAGATAAATAGACAGAGCAGTTGTTACAACGTACAACTGACTCCTCTTTACGTCTATATCAAGTAATAATAAAGAGAATAATATAAACCTAAGCACAACCACCTTATTTAATACACATGAAACCACTGACATAACTTCATATAACTTTCAACAAAATTAAGCAAACCATAAATCAGACCAGTGATGCAACCAGCCTGGCAAATCTCTCCATACATATATATCTTCTCAACTCACTTTTGAATCAAAATCTCAGATCTGAGACTTTGTCTTGTTATCCATATAGAGTATATTCGTTTTAGTTTGTGCCACCATATGTAAGCAGTGGCGAAGCCAAATTTGTTTTCAAGAGTGTTCAAATTTTTAAAAAAGTAAAAAAAATTTTCGACAAAGGGTGTTCAATATATGTTATATACCTTTAAAACCTAATAGTTTATCTATATACATAATATAATTTTCTAACAAAGGATGGTCAATGCATCGCCCATGTATGTAAGGAGTTGGGATAAGAGGTGGAGCCATAATTTAGATTACGGGTTTAGCCACACCAAGCAATTTTTGATTCAAACGTTAGTATTTGTCTTAAGAAATTTATTAAATATTTAACTTAATAATTTAGAATCTAATAACTTAAAAATATGATAGCTTGATTAGTAGTGAAAAAATATACTGGAATAGTAGTCGAAAGGTACGCATTTTAATCGAGAAAACAAATCACATAAAATTCAAAAATTGAAGAATTATATGAGTTTGAATTCTTGTCATCATTATTAAATTATGTGATAGTGAAATCATTGCCATTATAATTAATCAATCTTATACTCCTTCCGGTCCATAATAAATGATCTTTTGGCTTTTTTATTTTCGTCCAAATAAGTATTCTTTTACCTAATCAAAAAAATTAATTTTATTTTTTTAAAATTTGGCCTTATATATTTATATATCTCAATGTGTCAATGTAACAATATGTAATTTTTTTAAGGGTAATTTAGTTAATATATCTTTTTCTCTCTAGAAGTTAGTACTTTCTTAAGGGCATGCCAAAGAAAAAAAAGTTACTTATTATGAACCAAAGGAAATATATTTTTTCGTCTAGGTCCTTAAAAAAAGAACTAGAAAATCATCAGCTTCCTCTTTCCTCCAGTAATTTTTGGTTTCTTTTCTTTGAATTTAGCTTGATGAGTGCATTCTACATGTTGAATAAGGTTTCTACCTTTATTATCTCTTTCTTTTTTCTAACTTTATCCAGAGCTAAAATGAATGTTCTACATTCAGTGACAAATAAATTTGAATATATAAGTACTATTCATATTCTAGAAGACGTTAGAATGTTGTGACAACTAGTAGTTGTCAAAGTGCGACATTCAACTCACAAATCAAATTAGAGACTGATTTCTTTGATGTCCCAATCGGCCAATCACGTGAAGTTATGGAAGAACAACCAACGTATCTTTTTTATAAAT